ATGGTTATACAAAATTACATACAAGAAGAAGTGAGGGGAAAGGGGAAAAAAGGGGGGAGAAATAAATTACAGTAGATATGGTAGAGAGAGAAGATGGGAGGGGAGGTGATCGGGGATAGTAGAGGATAGGAAAGGCAGCAGAATGCAACAGGCACTAGTATAACAATATGTAAAACAGTGGATGTGTAACCTATGTGATGCTGCAATCTGTAACGGGGTAAAAATGGGAGTTCATAAGCCACTTGAATCAAAGTGTAAAGTATGATATGTCAAGAACTATGTAATGTTTTGAACAACCAACAATAAAAATTAAAAAAAAAAGTAAATCATAATCTGGTAAGAAACTTTGTAAAGAATATATGAAAAAGTATTTTTTCAATTAAATTATTTAAAAATCATTTTTTCTTTTATTTTAAATTTGTTCCAATTAGTTATACATGATAGGAGAATGCATTTTGACACATTGTACACAAATGGAGCACAAGATTTCCTCCCTCTTGTTGTACATGGTACGGACTAACACCAGTAAAATTCTTAAACTTCAAAACAAAAAGACAAATGCTTCAGGTAATTGTGGGCAAAAGATATACATAGTTAATGTTAAAAATAGTGAATCTGACTTGTCTTTCCTATGTACATAAATGAACACCTCATAGTGAATCTCCACATCATGTACATACACAAGCCTGGGATCCTAATTAGAATAAGGAATACTTTATGTTTTTATAGATATGTCATGCATATCTAAAAAGAACAAATAAAAAGTGATTAACATTGCTTGTTAACCAACAGGAAATGCAAATCAAAACCACATAAGATGCCATCTCACATCTACTAAAACGTCTAAAATAAAAGATGGAAACAGGATGTGTTAGGAAATAAGTGAAGTAATTGGAAACTTTATACATTTTTGGTAAGAGTATTAAATGGTACAGCTATTATGGAAAACACTGACAAAAGTACTTTGTAAGGCAGAAAATTCACACCTGAGTATATACTCAGATGAAATTGAAAACCAGAGTTTACAAACAAGTTTCACACTAATGTTCATAATGGCACCATTCATAATAGCCAAAAGGTGGAAATAACATAAATGTCTATCAAATGATGAAAAGATAACTAAATTGTAGTATATCTATACAATGGAATATTATTTGGCCATAAACATGAAGTACTGATATATATTTCACTTAGAAACAGAATGCTAAATGATATCACTTTGCATCTCATAAGACCACATATTACATGTCTCCATTGTTATAATGTATACATCATATGCAAAGATAAAGAGATAAAAAATAGAGTAGTGTTTGTTTAGGGTAAATGATTTTGAAAGCTGACAGTTAAAAAATAATGAGTTTTCTGATTTTGACAATGGTGATTTAACATGCTAAAAATTATGGAATTTTACATTTTAAGGAATCATATAGTATGTAAATAATATCTTAATGAAGTTGTTATTTTAAAAGAAAAAAAAGAAATGATAATCCACATACTAATTATAAGAAAAAACGGGTGGAGGAATTCTGAACCAAGGATGTTCTTGGCTTTTTTCACAAATGGATCTTCTGGATTGTTGAGGGAATTGATATTAACTCCAAAGGAGGTGCTAATAATCACATCCATGATGTAGCTCCCAAACATTCTGAGTAAAGAAAGAAATGTAAAATTTTAATATGTATTGCTTTACTCTCCTACTACACATGCTGGAAGAAGTGATATGAGCACATTCAAACACTTTCAGAAATATCTGTTGATCAAATGGCTAAGTCCATGCTCCTATCAAATACCATGAGGAAGCTGTCCCTGTGCCAGGGGAGTTAGGGACACTAGGGTAGTGAGCTCAAGGAGTTCAGTCACAGAGAGACAGACACCCTTAATCAGACAAATTACATCAGTTAGTGGAGTGAAGACGATAAAAGATGATTAAATATGGAGCTTCAGCAGGACCAGGGTGGTATAATTGACTCCTGGTAGGGGATCCAAGATTGGTGATCTTGACCTAGGTCCTGCCTAAGCACAGTCTGTGCCCAGAGCTGATTCCTCTCTAGCACATCATATACCAGCAACACTCAGTTCTGAGAGGACGAAATATCATCTCCCCTTCTCTGCACCCACTGCTACAGCTCCTGAGAGGTCCTGAACTCCAGGACCTAAAGTGGCCCAAGGACAGAATCTCGCAAAAGAAAATGAGAAAGAATATCCTCAGTTAAAACGTTGAAAATCTCCTCAAAATGTACTTGAATGTGCTCACGACTTGGTGAACGTATTCTCTCAGATTTTTTATGACAGTATCAGTGGTTGTTCATGGGTCAAAATAAACCATTTTATACAACAAATGATATGGTAGTTGTAATCTATATCCTTTCAGGACCTTATCTCTGTTGAGATTTAAGGAAGAAGTGAAGAGAATATTTCATATTTTGTATTTTGCTGATATTCTCAGTGCAACCATGAAGAGATTTGTTGTTCCATATCCTGCATTGTATCTTTATTTTTTAAATAATTTATTTTTAGTTGTAGAGGACAGCATGCCTTTATTTTATCAGTTTATTTTTATGTGGTGCTGAGGATAGAACACAGTGCGTTACACATGCTAGGCAAGTGTTCTGCCACTGAACTAAAACCCTAGCCCTGGGTTATATCTTTCTATCCCTGCTCAATAGGTACTGGAAACTTACCCCCATCCAACATTCTCTAGGCTCTACCCTCAACTTCTGAGTGGTCATGTTCTTCATTGTAAAACATGTGTTTTGACTTACATAATATCCAAATTGATGATCAAGCAGATAAACTAATTCTATTTTTGTACACAGATGTCTCAGCACCCTGCCTCATCCTAGGAGCCTCTCCTCCTTGGGTGGCCCATTGTGGTTTTGATACCCCTACACTTACTTTTGTCTGGTCAGGGGAGTAGCTCAAGGGTGGTAATTTCAGTTCCCTGGCAGGCTGCTGGAAGGTCTTAAAACAGCTCAGAACCCCAGAGCTGGCTGCTACTTACTCCTTCACAGTGACAGGCTCGCCTTTCTTCACTTCCTGGCTCAGGTAGTTCACCAATGTGTCTCCATATTGGTTAATGATGGGGAACATCTAAGCACAAACACAACTCCACCCACAGTTAGAGGAGAATTGAGTCCCCAAGGCTCTGGTTTTCCCAGGATTATAAAGTATGAGATATTTATAATGAATCAAATAATATCTCTTCTAAGACATAAAGACAAAAGGTGATTTGATATTATTAATTAGTTCTTTTTATTTATACATAACAATGTTTCCATTTGACTTAATTATAAAAGCATGGAAAATTAATTTGTTCTAACTCAGTCCCAATACTTCCCTTTTCTCTCCTCTTTCCTTCCCTCTGTTATCTTCTTTCTACTCTAATGATCTTTCTGATATTTACTTTTAGTTTTTTTTAATTAGGAATTTCAAACTTAATGGAATATTCTTTGGAAAACAATGATGTTCTCACGTATGTCCCATCCCCAAATCCTTATTTAAGTTTCTAACTAAAGTCCTCTTAGTTTTTATTACCTCCTTGAGTTTCCCACTGGAGAAAACTGGCGATATCAAGACTCGAAGTCTCTTCCACTCTTCATCCCTTGCCGCAAAGAGAGCTTTTTGCATAAATCCCAATGGCAAAACTACCTGAAGTTCACAAAGAAAAAGACATTTTATATAAGGTATGTTTTGGAAGTCTCCACATTGCAGAAAACTTGTTAAACAGGCATCAGTTTTTTTAATCATTATTTACTGAGTGTCTACTAGGGGGAAGGCCCTGTGCTAGATGTTCCATAAACTTTTATCCCAAATTCCTCTTCTCTTGTGAGGGTAGAGGGGGTACCCAGCCACCAGATGTGTGTTCAGTATTTATATTCCAGCTGCTGTGTAAATACAAAGGCCCCTCATGGGAGGTAAACTGTTGTCCCAGGAGACAGAGAGCATTATGACCTAGGGCATCCTACACAGACAGCACAGGAAAAAAAATGATTGATGACAGTCTTTCAGATAACCTTAGAAAACTAGGTTGCCCAGACTAGTTATGCTTTTCCATATACATACAGCATAAATATCTTGCAAGGGATGCCAGGATATAGCCACTTAAAAATAGTAGCTAATAACTTAAAAGATTAGGAACTTCTTCTCAATTCTGAAAAAATAATGCAATTATGTGGAAGTCCTTTCTTTTGAATCATCCCCCACTACACATACATGGAGGGACAGAAAGAAAGGAAAAGATAATTATGTTTCCCAGCTTGAGACTGGCCTGTCAATTCAACCTGCTCAAAGCTGTCATTCAGCTTCCAACACTATGTTTTGTTTATAAAGGTATACATCCAGTGCTCATTCATGATGAAAGCTCAAAACACTAGGAAGAAAAAAAAAACTTCTTCAATCTGAAAGAGACTCTATATACTTAAAAACCCAACACCAACAACAAAGACCTTCAGCTAACATAACATTTATTGGTGAAATGGTGAATCTATTCTCCTAAGATCAGTAATAATTTGAAGTTTTCCTCTTTTATCATTCTTATCCAATATTACCATACTCTAAATCCTTACTGGGTCAATGGGACAATGTTTTTACATAGGCATGTAAATTGGAAATGAATGAACCTGAAGTGACCCTGTCTTCAGGGGACAAAATTATCAATGTGGAAAATCTCAAAGAATATTTTAAAACATCTAGAACTAATAAATAGGTTCACCAAGGTTGTAAGATATAGTATTACCATGCAAAAATGAGCTACATTTCTATATAACAACAAGAGAAATGTCAAAAAAAAAACATTAAAAACACAATACTATTCACTGTCACTCCAAAAAAAATGAAACACATTAGGAACAGATATAAAAACAAGTTCAGGATTGCTATGCTGGAAACTATAAAATGTTGATCAAAGATATTAAAGAAAATCTCAAGAAATGGAGAAGCATGACATGGATTGAAAGATTTAACCCAGGAAAGATACAGATTTTCTTTAAATTAATCTATAGATTTGATTGAATTCTTATCAAAATCTCACCAAAAGAGTTTTTGCAGACAAGCTTATTCTGAATTTGTATGAAAAATTAAAGGACCAACATAAATAAAGTGGGAGAGCTGG